CCCCAGATGCCATTACCGTCAGATCGAAGGGCATCCCTGGCTTGAAGTACTTGGGGGTGTGGGTGAAGTGGATGGTGTACGGAGATGTCACGATGCGGATGCCACTGCGCTGTGCCTCCACCATGTCACTGCCTGCAGTGGCCATAAGAATGGCCATGTCACCCGGCACCAGCGTCCAGTCCCCCCCAGGGACAGCCCTGTCTGACCTTGGGTGGCCCCACGTGTCCCCATCCTTGCAGTCCCCAACCCCATGTCTCCCCATCCTTTGCTGTCCCCAACCCCAGATGTGCCCAGCCCCATGTGTCACTGCTGTCCCCACCCCCCTATATCCCCACATGTCCCCAGGTGTCCCCTACCCACCCAAATTGTTGAAAACTGTGACAGTGACATACAGCCCGTGGCCTCAAGCATCCCTGCTGTCCCTACCCCTCCAAGTCCCCTGTGTCCCCTGCGATCCCCCTGCACACCTGACTCCGTGAGTACGGTGACGGAGACGTAGAGTGAATGTCCCACCAGCTCCTGGGGGTTGGCGAATCGCTGCCGCAGCATGGCCATGGACAGCACGGCTTCCCCGTCCCCATCGCTCACCTGTGGCATGGAGTTAGTGGGACAGGGGACAGCCACGGGGACCAGGATGGGGACAGGAATGGGAATGGGGACAGGGGATGGCAGAGCTCAGTATGAGACAGGGATGAGGATTGGGATGACAGACTTCAGCAAGGGACATAGCTCAACGGGGGACTGGAATAGGGACAAGGGATGGGGACAGGGACAAGGACAGGGTCACCTTGACACGCTGCAGGGACTGGGGGATGCTCCTCTTCTCGTCGTCCACCATAACACCGAAGAGGACGAAGGCTGTCCCCTGCAGGCGCTTCCCATACAGGTACCTGTGGACAAGCCACCACTGTCACCATCAAACCCTGTCCTCGTGTCCCCATCACATCCACATCACTGTCACCCCACGTCCCCACATCCTCTTGTCATGCAACACTGTCACCCCATTGCCCCATGTCCTCATCACCCTGTCCCTCCACACACCCATGTCCCCGTCATCCCACCAAGCCCTGCCACTTCCATCACCATCACCCTGCGTCCTCCTCACCCCCTGTTCTCATCATCCCATTTCCCCACATCCCTATCACCCTCAAACCTGTCACCTTGCACCCGTGCCGCCCCCTCATCCCTGGGGACTTTGCACAGGAGCAGAGCAGGAATGTCACCCCCACCATCGCCCATGGGGGTTTGACCCCCAAAATGAGCAGTTTTGGGGTCCCCATCGCACCTGGCTGTGATGGACACTCGGAAATCCTCCTTCTGGTCAATGTAGAGGAACTTCTCCTCTGGCTCCAGAACCACCTCAAAGCTTGGCAGCACTGTGGGGTGGACACCCAATGGACCCAGGCATCCAGGACAGGCACAAGGGACCCAGGTGCCTGGGGACCCCCACCCCACCTTACCATACTCCTTGACTTCAAATTGGGTGCTGAAGACCTGTTCTGGTGAATCTTCGAATTTGGCCGTTATCGTCCATGTCCCCAGGCTGGAAAAGGCAGGGTACAGGGTGAGGGGACAATCCTGGGGCCACAGATGTCCCTGGGCCACCCTGGGAGGTGGCACCCACCTGACGACCTCAGGCAGGTTGTGGTTGAGGGAGAAGATGCCAGTCTTCATTGGCGAGGACACGGGCACTTGCTTGATGGTGATACCATCAGGTGTCTGAAGGGACATGGAGTGGTTGGGGACAGTGGCATGGGTGGCTATGTCCCCATCTCCCTGTGTGCCCAGTGGGCACCCACCTTGATCTCCACAATCACCGTCTTGGGCAGTGGCTCCATGAGGTGGCCCAGAGCGAAGAAGCGGCAGAGCACTGGGAGGGGACATGGGGGACTAGGTGAGCAGGGATGGTGCAGGGACATCTAGAAATGGGTGCTGGACCCCAAAATGGGTGCTGGATCCCAGTGGAGATGCCAGAGCAATGTCCCCAAATGGGTGCTAGACCCCAGCACCCCAAGATCACACCAGCACCCCCAGGTGCTGTGGAGGTGACCCAACACCCCAAGATGCCACCAAGATCCCAAGGTGCTGTGGGGGACACCCAACATCCCAAGGTGCTACCAGCACCCCAGCATGCCATGTGAGACCCAGCACCCCAAGAACACACCGACGGAGCTAGGGGTGTAGATGGGCTTGTCAGTCTGCAGGAAGATGTAGCCGCTCTGGAGTGACACCAGCAGCACCTTCTCCAGGGTCACCTGGGCCACCTGTGCCGTCACCGAGACAAACTGCTTCCCCATTCTCTGAGGCAGTGCCTTGGCCGACACCTGCAGTGACAGAGGACACCAAGTGGCACCTGCACCACAGGGACCGGGCAGGGGACAGCAGATGGCACCCATGCCCAGGGAAGGGTGCTGAGGATGCCGGGTGACAGTCCCCAGGGACTCCAGGGTGACCATCATCAAAGACCCAGGAGTGACTGTCCTCTAATCATAGGGTGACCATCTCCAAGGACCCTGGGGTGACTGTCCCCAAAGATCCAGAGGTGACGACTCCCATGGACCCACAGGTGACCATCCTCTAGTCACAGGGTGACCATCTCCAAGGACCCCAGGGTCACTGTTCCCAAGGACCTCAGGTGACTGTCCCCAAGGACCTCAGAGCAACCATCCCTAAAGACCCTGTGGTGGCCATCCCCAAAGACTCCATGGTGGCCATCCCCCCCAGGTCCCACCAGCTCTGTGGAGATTCTCCAGCATCTCGTATAGGGTTGAGCCTCATGGGCCATGCTTCACGAGGCAGGAGGGGGCAGTGACCGGTAGGGAGGTGACGGGGGAGGGGGGTGGTGGTGACATACCTTGATGGTGGTGGTGGCCAACATGCCCTCGGCGGGGCTCAGTGACACTCCGACCTTGTAAAGCACGTGGCGCTTGAGGGGAAAGTCCTGCACCATGAGGGTGGCCTCTGTGGCAGTGGTCAACCCCGGTGCCTCCAGCACCACCCGCTCCTCTGTCTCCAGCCGCAGCACCGCTGGTGTCACCATCGTCACGCTGGGGACACCGGCCATCATGGAGAGCTGTTACAGAGCCCCCCCCAGCACCCTGGGGACCTCACAGCACCCAGAGCCCCACCCCAATCTGTCCCCACAGCACCCTAGGGACCCCCTGATCTGTCCCTGACAGCACCCAGCACCCTGGGGACCCCACAGCACCCCAGAGACCCCCCCCGATGTGCCCCATGGGCCTGAAGCAACCCCAAATCCTCCGCTGCACCCCAATATCCCCCCCATTGCCCTCCACCACCCACCCCTGGGTGGGGGCTGTCCTGGAAAGGGGGCTCCCATCGGGGGGGGTGCTGGTCAGGGGGGTCCTGGTAGGTTGGGGGTCCCTGGTAGGGGGGTCCCAGTAGGTTAGGGGTTCCTGGCAGGGGGGTCCCAGACACAGGGGTCTTTGTTCTGGGGGTCCTGGATATGGGGAGGCTCAATTTAGGGTGGAGGGTCCTGGCCATGGAGCGGGGGTCCACCACGGGTGTTCCATCTGGGGCAGGGGGTCTTGGTTGGGGAGGGCGTCTCAGCCATT